ATATAGCACTTTTCTGTACGCGACAATTTAAAGTGCTTTACTTTACAAACAAATTAAAACTTTTTAGGAATAAATACAGTAAAAACACATATATAATGGCATTTTAACAACAGGCATTACAAAGCAAAGATAATAAATAATAAAATAAACACCACAGTATACAATACATGTTTAAAAGGCATACTGTAGTGCAAATATGAGCAGCTCAATTAAAAGCAGCGGCAAAGAGATATGTTTTTAGTCTCCATTTAAAAATAGTAAGTGTCGTTCTGCTTTCTTCTTGCGGGACGTGCATGATTTGGGTAGTTTGTTCCAGATTGTTGGGGCATAATAGCTAAATGCTGCCTCTCCATGTTTTGTTTTTACTCTCGGAACCGATAGCAGACCCGTCCCAGAAGACCTGAGGCACCTTGATGGCTCGTAATTAGTAGGAGTTCAACTTTTTGGTCCTAAACCATGTAATGATTTAAAAACTAGCAATAGAACTTTAAAATCAATTATTTGGCCGACTGGAAGCCAATGTAGAGATTTCAGAACCGGACTGATGTGATCCAGTCTTTAATGTTAGTGAGGACACGAGCAGTGGCGTTCTGAATCAGCTGCAGCTTTCTGATGGATTTTGTGGTCAGCCCTGTGAATACACTATTGCAGTAGTCGAGTCTACTAAAGATAAAGCATGGACAAGCTTTTCTAAGTCCTGTTGTGACATTAGTTTTTTAATCCTCGATATGTTCTTCAGGCTCTCAGCATTGAATCAAAATGCACCATAGCTTTAAATCTTAATCAGTTTGTGAGGTTTTGCTGACAAGATGGTAATCGCCGCATTCAGCTGTAATAGGCATGCCAACTTGATGCTCTGCTCACGGATGACTCGATGAGCATAATAAACTGTTAAGATGATGACCGTACGTGTGTAAATATATTTGTTCTTTATTTAAAAAAAAGTTTTAAGTCCTGAGAAAGTCAATAAGACGGTGTGTAAAACTTCACTGCCCAGCCAAAAGAAAGTAACCACTTTGATTTAACTAGGCCAGTAGGTAAGGACTTTCCACTGGATCATAACTGCAGCGATGTATATGTTTTAGCTGAATACACGTTTTTAACCCTAACTGATGCAGTTAGTCACTTCTTTAATGTTTGTTCTTTCTGATGTAAAGTCAGGTTGTAACTGTTTGCAATGAAGTTGTGGGGCGCTGAACTGTTCCTTTGATTATTTGATCGTAATTACTTGTCTTTCAAATTTGAAGGAGGGTGAGCAAGCATCTTGAGGAACATTCATCATTAACTCCTCCAAAAAATATAGTTTATTTAATAATAAATGAATATGTGAATCATAACAGTGATTGACTGCTGATAGGAATAATATGATTGTTAATAGTATCATATGAATTTAGACAAACATCGACGAGACAGTTAATTAATGTACTTATTGAAGCAGGTCTGCATAGATTGGTACCCCTGCTAGTCTAAGAGTGAAACAAACTCATTCAGTTATTGTTCAGTTGAAATTCATTAAATTATGTCTGCCACCTTATATATTTATATTTAAGGCTTTACTGATATGCAACAATAATGTCACCAAATGTTATTGAGTTAAAATAAATATTGTGGCTTTCCAAGTTAACATTAATTGATATGACTGCGATTAAATCAGCACATACTTCTGCCAGGGGATGCCACCCCAGAAATTCTCCTGCCACCCTCTTGCCACCCCATGAATATTTTTCAAGATCCGCCCCTGAATCCTTGTCTGCTCATCTACTTTAGTGTCTGTGGATTACTATCTATACTATAGCATATTTTCTTTCTTTGAGATTAAATTATTTGTAAGCATCGTCCTTGTAAAACAAAGATATAATAATAATAATTTATATTGAGTTTGGAGGTGACGTTTCTGGACATTTTCAAATTTGATAAAGTGTACCTTTAGAAAAAAATGTAACTTACTAAGAGAGCAATTTTTTAAGAATAGCTATGAACTGAGCCCTGAGCTTGCGGGGGATTTTACATTTATATTTCACCAAAATGGCTATAAACTAAAATATTTATTTACTGTTCAGACCTTGCAAGCGATGACCTGTGGAGAGCACAGCAGCAGCGAGCTTGAGGATGAGCAGCAGGAACTTAGTTGAAATGTAGTTAGCTGGACCATATCCTCGGGCAGCCTGGACACTGTTCAATTAAGATGTCAGCTAGCCTTCACACACAATAGATTTTTAGAGGGTTATTCCTGGTGCAGGTTCTGAAAACAATATAGAAAAGGGATTGTAAGTCAGGGGGAAATAAATCACACGAAGATTTAACAGTTATGCATGCGAAATGCAATATTACTTTATACCTAGCCCTGTGTTTGTTTCCTATTTGTGCTGAACTCCTAATGACAGTTTGTGTACTTTAATCTGAAGGCCTGAGTTGTTCATCACAGTGAACACAAATACCTCATTCACACCAACGCAACTCCGGTTTCTGGTGCCTTGCTCAAGGGTACCACGGCAGGGCCCAGGACTCCAAGTAGCAGTCCACTCTCCATATTTAGGTCTGGTCTGGGAACTGGCGACCCTACGGCTCCCAGTCCAAGCCCCTACTGACTGAGCCACTGCTTGCTGTATGCTACCATGTTATTCAGCAGCGAAGTCTTCTGTGTTGCAGATCAACTGGATCAGTTTGGGTGTGAACAATGATGAGGGCTGTCCTGTATATACCATCTTTCTCAGTTCCTCTAAGTATCAGTTCACAACAATAATTGACAAGAGTGTTAAGAAGAACAATTCAGTTTTTATCTGCATGGTCCCACTGGGAATAAACACAGTACAACAATAATGGATTTAAAAATATGTTAATAAATGGTTAACGTAAAAATAAAGTGCAAAGTAGGCTAACAGCAAGGAGTGTGATACTGTGTGATACTAGAGTGAATCATCTTATCTGAAAAACTACATAAAGTGGCAACATTTAAATAGTTGTGTTAAAATCATCTATAAAACTAACCAAAGCAATTGCATTATGCTAACATCCAATGCTAATTTTACCTCTGTACACAGCCCTCTGTCCAAGCTAGTCTGACACATGTTGATACTGACATAACAACCCCAACATGTATGCTATCTTAAATTATCGGCATTCATACATTTTGTTATAGAAATACAAATAAAAAGTAACCCGTGCCCTTTTTAAAGATTTATCACGAGAAACAAATCGTAGCCATTCGGGTACAAAATACCGAAAAGATGAGGAGGGAGGGGTTTCCTAAATTCACCTGTTCAGGAACATTCCTCGCTCGCCCACTCAAACCTCAAACACTGCTCATGTGTAGGCCTTTTGCGCACAGTGCTGCCACTGGTGGTTAGACATCACATTACATAAATGTAAAAAAATACAAATGCCTCAGCTTGTAGTACACACACACAACCCAGTATTCCCGAGCTATGTGTGCTGCTGAAAATGTATGCAGATTAAGAGTCAGCAGTCAGACATGTCATGAATGCCAAATTAACCAAGCCAGCAGCATCACATCGATCCGTGGGAGAAGCTTAAAATACCATGGATGAGACTTGTGGATTAATGATACGATGAGATGATGAGATGGGTTGTATAATATGTTGCATTTTCTTCTCATGGTTGTGTAATGTATTTGTGTATGCTGTGTAGTAATACTATAGAGGCAGCTATATGATAAGAAGAACTCATGTATGCAGCATTTGAGCCCAAGAATAATTTCCCTACGGGGACATAAAGTATATTGTATTGTACATGGTATTTTAAGAGCCTCTGTTTCTGATTGTCATTGATCTCATAAGATTGAGCTCAATGAATGCACTCTATAAAATCCATCGACCCCTTCACCATCCAGGTAATCCACTCTGTATATGTTAGGCCACAGCCTGAGTGCAGACTTCTAACACTAACTTTAAGAGAAATGGTATCAAGTATGTCACAACTGCACCATATCATCTACCATCCAATGACTGTGCTGAATGTACAGAGCAGGTGTTTTATACATAAACCTGATCCATTTATATAAAAACCTGTCTGAAAATGAGCTGATCAGATTTTGGCCACTTTATGATGTCATAACGATTTTTTGATTGTGTAACCATTAGCCAATCACCAACCAAGGTAACCCCTGCCCACCTTATCACCTGAATCTCCTCCTAGAGCACCATAGCGTCTTTTTTTTAACCAAATCTCTCTCAGAGGGGCGTGGGGAGTGGCTCCTTATTTTCATCCAAAAGTAACAGACAGAGAATCAGCACATTTGAAACAGGGCTGAAACAGAGGGGATTATGGGATGCTACAATGCATGATCTGTTTGGTATTTCGAGCCAAACACTTCAGAAACATGTTTTGTATATCCGAGACCTATAATTGATGAAAAAGAGTATAATAGGAGACCTTTAAATGGGGAGAGGAGCCTTGAACAAAGCTGTCAAGGTTGTCTCCTGAATATATCGTTCATCACCCCAGTCCCCTGCTGGAGGCCCACCTGCTGAGCTGCTAATGGACTGCAGAAACAGGAACTAGTTGGACCTGTGTGCTTCGTTCACAAACTTATGAAGCTGAATTAAAAGGCAAACCAAATGGAGCAGACGGTGAGGGTGATAGTCAGAGGGTACATGGGCCAGAAACGCTGGTGAAAAGGCACACTAATTGTCCAGGTTATGAGAAACAACCTGCATCCAGTCTACAAGATCAAAGCTGTCACAATACATACAAATGTGTAGAGTTGATTTTTTAACCAAAAGAATGCACTGAGTGATCACCATTGATTATCTGTTTATTTTCTTTTTTCTTTCAATATTTTACCTCTGTTTGTTGTAAACAGTTGACAATACAAATCAACTCTACTACTAATTAGTTCTATATTGGAACATGGTTAAATGCCAGGGAAGTCCAGCATCAGTGCAACAGTCCTTTCAGCTCTTCTGTTACTGCTCATCGGGAAATATGACATGCAAAAGAGGGTTAGGGTTAGAATTAAAGACGCAGATGATGGTTGAATCTTCTATTAAAACCTTTTATTTAATTGTAATCATATAGGCTAATATTTCTCTCATCCTCCATCCGTCTCAAAGTCTTTTTGTTCAATCACTGAGCAACATCAAATATAACAAGATCAGGCAGATGAACAAAGGAAATTAGAAACAAGTCAGGGAGACAAAAAGACATAGATTTTTAATAGGTTTAGCTCACTTCATGTTTCATTTGTTAGAATCATCATTTTTCTAAACCAACTAAAACCCTCTTATTTAATAACGCCAAGTTTTCTCAGTTATCCAGCATGAAAATGTGGAAAGGTGTTCACTTCTGGTACACACAAATGGTTTCACTGTATTTAGTACAGTTCTTAAGACATTAAGTGCTCCTCTGAATAATGGGTAAAAGGAATATTGGGAAAACAAGCTACAACAAAGTTCTTGTCAAGTTTAACACAAACAGTATTTTGTTACCTACTTAGACAAAAACAGGCATGAGTATAAAAAAAATGTTAGGAGGGTTAGGGTTGTTGTTGAAAAGTAAAAAAGCTAAAGTCACTCAGGACTGCTGTAAAAGCAACTCTGTTGAACCAAAGGAAATAATGATTTAAAGGCATTTTCACTTATTTGTCTTCCTGTGTAACAAATGCCATCTATCTTATGACAGCACTGCTTATTATTATCAGCTCAAAGAAAGCATTATGCAAAATGTGCAATAATATAAGGGAAAGTAGACAACAAGAAGACATGTAAATGCAAACATGTTGCAGCACCCCTGCTATTATCTGGAGTCAATCCCCCTTTCTATTCCCCAGCCAGCAGTTCCACATTAAGAGTTCATCACAACCTATTGAAAGCTTTTATGCCACAGTAAAATATGAGTATGAGTCTTTCTGAGAAATATGTATTCCAATAATGCAATCATTGAATAACTTGGTAAAAAGGAGTCTTATTAAAAAGTTTAGTTTTGAGCATTAGCTTGGTATAGTGGCCTGAGTCTGATTTCATAAACAGACATAGGGTGACAAAGCTGATTTAGATGGCCAAGTAATTCATTCAGATGAAAATAAGTGTGGTATGTAGATGATAATTGAACACTGTCATCAAAAAGACTAGTTGAATCCTTGAATTTACAAATCATCAAGAGTTGATCCACTTAATTTTAAATTGATATTTATGACGGTTTACACTATGTATCCTGGTAGGTAGAAGTTTGTTCAGTCATTTGTCATGCCCCAATGTGCTGTGTGGGTGATTTAAATATATTGAATTTGAAAACTGTAAAAAACAAAAAGCATTTTTAACAAACTTGCAATGACTTTACCTTTTAAAGTCAAATGTCTACCTCAGCATAATTTCATTTGCGCTTTACAAAATAGATGATCCCAGAGAGCACTGATGCTCCACAGTAATATGTTCTCACTGAACAGGGTGCTTCTGAAACAGTTCTTCTGCACACTCAATCCGAGTCGACGCTCAGGCAGACATTCACAATGTTACACAACGATTTGTGCACTTTAAACTTCTTAGAACAGGAGTACTGATGTAGGACCTATTATCAGGTCAAGATCTTACATGAACTTTGTATTTTATTCATGAAATGCACCCATTGAGACCTCTTAAATGTTTCAAGGCAAGTAAACAAATGATGAAATCCCCTTGTTCCGTGTTTTACCTTCACGAGAAACTGTGGCAGCAGCAAAGAGAATGTTTTTGTGACAAGGGTTTTGGGGTTGTACTGTATGTGCAATAAATTATCTGTGCATCTCGAAAGCACTGGGCTAGTAGGAAAATTATTACTCTGTGCAAATGTGAATTAACATAACTTTTTCATTTGGGTTTTTGAGCGTGTGTATGTTTCTTCTTATTCTAAACAATAGTTTGGTCAAAGTATTGACGCTATGTCAATCAAGTCAAGGTACCTTGTGCAAACAGATAGATAAATACTTCCGTCTATTTCATATACATGAAGGCAAACATCCATCTATATGTGACATCATCATAGATGCAACTTCCATGTTTCAATTCGGTTCAACTAAAAAGGCAAATGCATATGTACTGTATTAGTCCATTTGTTATTAACATAAACTACTTTAAATCTCTAAATAGTTAACCAACCAAGTACAACCAGTCATATGTTTGTTATTAGTGTTAAAGTGTAGGTATGTAATATGAAAATAATAACAAAAATATATAAAATGTGTAGTTTGATGTGGTAAAGATGCTTGAATGAACTGATATTGATGTAGCCTGTCTAGATAATGGTCTATAAAAAGGAGATAAGATACATAATGTCCTAATACTGTACATGCTCATATACACTGTGGTTTAGACTTATACCATCAGACAGGAAGTATTTGGTCCTCTCAGTACAGACAATAATGCTTTTCTCTTTTCAATCAATTCTGATTAACAAAACAAAAAGTGTAATCCTGGGAATAAAATTATATTTTCCATATTTATCGATCCTATTGACATATCTACAAAGAAGAATTGCATGTAGTTTCTTGGGACATCATCAGTAGAGGATGACATATTTTCTCTTCATTTAAATGTGGAGCTGCAAAACAATTGTGTGTAAAAAGAAAATCAATCAGTGGGTAAAGTCCATTTTACCTGTAAAAAACAATCCAAAATGAGTCTAAAAGAGTACCGCCTTTTGTGTACCGCTTAAAAGACCAATGCACAGTCAACCTTCCTGCACACAAGGGGGATTACAACTAGGAACTCAAACATGTCATTTCTGCTTCTTCGCCAGCTTGGCCACCTCCTGCCGGATAGCCTGCACCAGTGCAGAGGTGGAGAGGCTGCTCAGGGGCAACGTTGTCCATGTCCTTCACCAACTGGGGCAGGCTTTGCTGGCATGCTGTGCTCGGGGCAGTGGGTGGCAAGCTCCGTGCTTGGTTGTACTGCAGGGGCAGCCTGTGGGGGGCTCCCCTGTGGGTAGCGAGGATGAGGAAAAGGCCTCTACATACCCGGGCAAGGGCACCTGGAAAAACAGGGCAGACATGAAATCAGTAATACAGTTTCATTTATAATATTATTACCTATGAAAGTAATGGGTGCCAATGAGATGATTAGAGCGTTACAGTATATGCAACAGTTTTTAAATTGTATTTTTCTGAGTGAACCTTTTCTCTTGCAACACTATTTTAGAATAAATTAAATGGGAGTTTAAAAAGAATGAAAAAAGAATAATAAATAAAAAAATTAAAACAGGGAAATAAATGAATGTGGAGATGTACTGAGTGGATGTTTGAAATGGACTTTGGTTCAAACACTCCAAAAACGACTACTTCTGAATGTTGATAAAAAAATAGATTAGATTAGATTTATTCGAAACAAAGATTTTAAGAAAAATCTAAGTAAAAGTAGGTGTTCATTTAAGAAATGATCGGTGATGACCCTAACCCCGGTGTTTTGTTGTGTCCACTCAATGGCAGCCATACAGTTCAGCAAATGGTTTCTAAATGACACTGGTTCTGCAAAAAGACACTGGATGAAGGCATCTGATTGAAACAGGCAAACAGACAGGGGGAAAATGTATAAAACTATCTTTACAAACAAGGAGACGTGTGTGCAGGGGAAGGGAGGATGGGAGGGTCACATGGGGTATAACAGATCTGACAGGAAGAAAAAGGAACCTGTCTTTATTAAATGAAAAACAGATTTGAAGGTCTTTGTTCAGTGAATTCCATTAATATTCAAGAAGTATAAAATAATCTGAGTGCTGAGATGGTCTTCGAAATATAATATTTAATACAGCTATACTGATCTTCCTATTTTGAGTGTCCTTAGGCTGACAAGACGTAATGGAAAAATATCCCACACAGCTTACACAGTAGTGTGTTAGTTGTGTGTATTCAATTAAAAAGTATTGAACTCAGGGTCTTCTGTTTATAAAGTCAAGACACTGGCTTCTAACGTCATGTCACAATTTTTCTGAAAATTCGAGATATAAATACAAAGCTGTTGATGTCCTGGGAAAAATGGTGACGTTCCTAATTTATATAAAGACATTTGATTTTATCACCATAATTTGGTTATTAAACCAAGCAATCTAAATAGGCTTCCTTACAGAGTCTGCCCACTGTGGCGGTAGATCCTCAGGTTCAGGGGGATAGGACATCCAGGAGGGGCTGTGGTAAGAGGTGGTTGGCGTGGACACAAAGTACTCTGAGTACCCCGACCTGGTGGCTGGGATGGCGTAGACAGCTGTTATTGGGTTTCCTACAGAAAAGAGATTACATTCACTGGTGAATGCATTTCAGGGAATGTATTACCATTCTTGAAAAATGGATGCTGGCATGGATGCAAAACCACGTTATGGTTTCTTAAAAAATGCCAAGTCATCTATTCATATGCTTACCTGAGTAGTTGGACACAGGCTCTGCAGCGATAGATGGAAGTGCCGCTCTAGATGTTGGCCCATATGGGTTGCTGTCACGTTGACTGTGCATTCCAGTGACAGATGTCTCTAAACTCCTTCCCTTAGGCCCCAAGTCAGAAGTGGAACTAAGTTGCACAGAGATTGGAAAGGCATGAATGTAGAGAGTTACTGACATATTTGACAAGTACCACTAGATGGCAGACACAGTCCATTTTGAAATGGTAGTACCTCATTAACATTCTTGCCACCTCTCAATGCACTAGTTCAATATTCAAATTTAAACAAGGCCTAAAATCACCCAGGCAAAAACACATTACCTGGCAAATTTATCTCGTCCCTGAACATGAATTTAAATGTGAGAAAATGTGGAATATCCGATGGGCTCTGGGAGGCTACGGACAGTATGTGTATGTCTTTGTCTGGCTGCATCTGTGTGTGTGCGACTGATTCAGCCTTACCGTCTTAAGGGGTTCCCAGGGGGAGGACCAGTGCGAGGCGGTAAGGGGGGAGGAGAACCAATAGCCATCTCAGGAAGCTGGGTGAAGCGAAAGGCCTTAAAAACATAGTGAAGGGCATTTAAGGTTACATAAACTCCAACACAGCTCTAAAGGGAGGGGAAATAATCAAATCACACTTACCGGTTTGGGAAGGCTGCAGTCATATATGTCTGAGCCATAGGACGGTACCCACTGCAGACCCTGTCCACAGCTCATTGTACCCGGGGCGCTGGTCACAACGTCTGCGTAGGGGAGGGGAGGCGGCGCGGGGCTGTAGTGGTCGGGAGGAAGGTGGAGATGGGAGTGCCTTCCGGATGTGGACTGCCCCCCTGATGCCAGGCTGAATGCCTCCTCCAGCAGCAGGTGCATCTGCTGTCGCACTTCATCAATGGACGGCTGTGAGCTCAGAGTGGACGTCTCCGAGTGGCCTTTCAAACCGCGGCCGTACATGTATCCCCGCTGCCCCATTAGACGGTCAACATTCGTCTCCTCAATCAACTCAGGTTCAGTCTAAATAACATAGATCAAAAAAGAATGTTAATTGAGATACAGAGTACATAGAGACAGTGTAAACTATTAAATAACATAATGTGCAAGGGATCGGATCGAGAGGCAAACACAGTAACAAACAATATGGAAGCTTTAATACAAACAAGAATAAAAGGATATACTATAAAGCTTGTGGACAATTTTAAGTATCCAAATGTTAGTTCTATTGAGATTGCTTATAATGGTGAACTCGTAGCCACAGCCACATGTGGAGCCAGATTCTGTTTCTGATTTACTCCAAGATCAAATATTAGAAAAATGAAACCTTTCCTTACTGAATTAGGGATATTTCAATAGAAGCAACTTTAAAAAGCTAGAAAGTTACACGTCCTGTAATGTCTCCAGTCATTCTCTCAGTGGTTTGTTGACAGGATGCTGAGAAGCTGGAAGAGGCTGTTTAATGTTTGCAGAGCTGGAAGAGTTGGATCCAGCTGTGTTACTGCTTGGTCACAGTAGGTTTACGCAGCAGAACCAGGCAGTTTGTTTCACTGAGTGCTAACCAGCACTGTTCTGTACTGAAAAGCATCGAACAATACTTAAGCAGTTGCTATAAGTCTTTTGTCTTTGTGCTAATGCTATTTCTGTATCTGCCCTCAGTTTCTCGCTTCTTATCTATATTACATGTTATTATCTACGGTTTACCCATTATCATGTTTCCCATATATATACAGACTGCTGCAGCTCCGCTGTCACAAGGACCGATACAGGAAAACATTCCTGCCCACTGCAATAGCACTGTACAATAAATCACCTCTGGCTGGAAGAGAACTCTCTGCTCCAAAGTTTATTTTGTAATAAAACCACGTTGTAAATGTTACACATATATAATCTGTTCAATATTTAATATTAATATTCCATATATATTTGTATATATAATATCTTGTCAAATTCAACATGTATATTTTCTATTTTCTTTATTTTCTTGTTTATTTCTAGTTTTGTTTTATTGTAAAATGCCTTGTCTTTTATGCTGCTGCAACACAAACAAATTCCCAAGTTGGGTTCAATAAAGTACCATCTTATCTTATCTTATATTCATTGCATCTCCATCTAAATGATTTACCCACTGCCTCACTTTTCCATTCTCTTTCTAAAATATTTCCCCTCATCGGTTCATACTCTTTACTCTTTTGCCATCTCCCAGCCTCTGTGTCCATCTTACTAGTCCTTATATTCAGCGATAAACGAGTTCAGGCTGCCCTACTTCCTGTGCAAATCGCAGGTAGCCACAGGAGACCTAGCATAGTGCACCTCATGAATCAGCCAGCCCTGCAACAGGGAACGGTGGAGGTTTGCATCTGCAGTGATGGGGTCTGTAGCCACAATAGTCCCATGGTACATGGTCAGGAGTTCTTTAAAAGGATTGTGAAGCTTGTACTGACTATAGAGCCTGCTGAACATTTGGCTACAGGGTTCAACCAAATAGAAACAAATACAAACTGACCAAGGGTCATGACGATCGAAGTCTGGATAATCTAATTCTGTAGAGCTTCTGAATTCATATGGCATTTTGCTCATGGCACCACCCTGTCGTCTCAAGAGCCAGATAGATCTAGATGATACAGACTATGAATAATATGCATAAGAGGCTATTTTTAAAGCAGATATTTAACTTGAAATAGCAGAAAAAGCACAGGGTATATAATAACTATGTTTTTCCTTTGAGCATCCCAGTAAGCCATGCCAGTGATCCAGCACAACAAGAGTCAGTCACAGTGTCCTGTGTTTTTCCTGCTGTCACTGGTCAAAATTGCTGGCAGGTCAATGGCAGTGCACTGAAATATTTCTAAAGCGGGTCATGTTTATTTTACAATAGAAGAGCTCGAAGACTCTCAGGAGCTCATATAATAGTACTCTGACGTCTTGACAGAAAGAGCCATGTCCATTATGGAACAATACGAGAGAGGAGGCATAAACCAGCCATCCTGAGATGCGTTACATATCAAAATGACAGAACCATATAAATCTTAATTATGAATTATGAATGAACCAGTTCCTTTCTTTGCTTTGGCTTAACTGAAACCCTGCCTGAGAAGAACATGTCTGATTTCGAGCTCAGTGACTGCACAGTGCTTCAAATAGGGCAATAGGACTCAAGTTAGCACTGATAAGCTCTGATAATTATGTTTTCCATTTTTATATTTCATCATAATAGCTTGAAAACACTGGCATTATTTATTTTTGAATTTTAACTTGAAAGACTTACAAGAATATGAGCATATACATTAGAATTTCTTTAGAATATGTAGTAACTGCTTTTATTTTAGAAGGAACAGCACTATACTTTTTGGCAAATCACTTTGTTAGAGAAGGATTTCATAATGGTAAAGGTGAATTATTATGGTAAGTTTAAGTGCATCTTGTTGGGAGTTGGGGGGATGACATGTGACTCACATCATAGCCGCTGTTGCGGATGCCTCTCCTGGGTCTCTCCCTCATAACAAGCAGGTCCATCTCTGTCCCTCCAGGACTGGGACTGCTCAGACTCTGTCTGCTGCGATAGGCCGTCTGTCCTACCTGCGAGTGCCTGCCAATTAGTAGAGAGTGGATAGAGGATTCATTACAAAACATACCTGGGGTGTAGTTATTATTCAGCTTTCTTACTTAAGCTATGTGAGTGTCTGCCAGTAAAAGGCAGGTACACAGTACAAGTGGTGGAGAACACAATATGTGTCTGATTTTCTCCGAATGCAGACCTAACACAATAATTACGTTGGGATATCTCATAAGGACCTCAAGTAAAAGAGCTGAATCAATAGTTTACATAATGATGTTGTGCCATATGTCAGGTATCAGAGTATCCTTGAGGTGTTGCACAGCAAATGTAATACTGAAGCGTCTAGCAACACACAACAACAATCATTCAATCAATCAAATAAAATATGTGTATCAGCAAACCTGCTTAGATATGATCACTTTTGATTTTGAAGGATGTTGTTGGTCTAAGAAGTGATCCAACAGCCACACTCACGTATTTCGACAGTAAATAGCTGCTAAATTCATTATCTTGCTCAACATGGTGGGATATAAAAATAGCTATTCACCTCCTCACTAAGTCAACACACAAGCCAACATTTCCGCTCTGAAGTGTAGTGTAGTGTAGTGTAGCTACGCGTTAATCTGATGTGGACATGTTGATCTGAGCCTGTAATAACCAAGTATTCTTTATGTGCATGTGTAAAGCAGCAGCAAGACGGAACCAGCAGAGTTCAACACCCTGCCAATCCTCTTATCTCCGTTATGGAGGCTCAGGACTTGGATCAAACTAATCAGACAGGCCTGATGGGTCTCTTTCTGCCGATTAAGACAGGATAATCACAACATTAGAGGAGACAGTTTTTCTTATCAATGAGCTAATTAGGCAAGGCAGCGGTCAGCAAAGATGGATAACAGTCCATGGTTAGAAGCCCAATCCACCATGTGAACTGCCATGTCACCTTAAGCACTTTGTGACTCAAAGTGTTTCGTCACACCCTCGCGTGCCCACTTTACCCCTCACCTCCTGTGCGATTTGACATAAGTGGATCCTCGCTCATCGTCAGGGTCCAGGGGTCTGCCCAGCTCCCCGGCTGCCCTCTCATGGCCGTGCCGCTGTCTCTGTACCATGGCCTGACCACTGCTGCTGCCGTCTGTGGAGGGGAAGTCATAATAACCCTTCCTCTTAGCCTTCAGCCTCAGCTTGTTTCTGTAGTGCTCAATGTCTGACTTCTGCTTCAGAGCCAGGTTCACCTGTAGAGAGGAAAGAGTGCAGGAGGTTAATTTTCTCCATGTGGTTTGATTCGGCTTTGTTCAAAAGGTATGTGTGTGGATTAACGTTCAAAGGGTTTTGAGGAAGAAGTTCAGACAAATTAAATAATAACAGTCTAAAGGATTCAGAAATATTGTTTTTAATATCCATTATATTGCTTAAGACGACCCAGTTTAAAATAAAAAAATTAACAGAAAAAGGGAGGTCACCCTACTGTACGGTTGTATGATATATTTTTGACCATTAAACACTATACTTATACAACCCCTCAACATATTCTGATGAGGTCATTGGAGGTTGGAGCTTCAAATCAAATGCCACAAATAAAGTAACTTATTCAAAAGAACACTTTCTTTGAGTTCAAGATTCAAAGGCTGCTTAATCAGGACAGTATGTCTGGTTTAGTCCGATATGATCGACAGTTCCGGCAATTTAAGGTAAGCAACTCCCAACCTGGCATTACATTGTAATCAAAAGTAACTAAACTGTGATTGTTGCTCAGAAATAGAGTGACTTTCTCCTCAAAGGACTGTCTACTTTACACCAGTGAGAAAAACTGAAAATGTCAAACAACTTTTATTTAACTTTTTCCTGAAAACAGAAATAATAAGGAGCTGTTGGAGAAAATATGTTTGCAGGGATTGTCATGCATTTGTGCATACATGTTCAACTTGATGATGTAAATCTAAGCACCCCGATGAAGTGATATGTGCACGTGCATCACCTCTCCGTTTACGATGGCTGATTCCTGGCTGCGGTCAGACGAAGCAGGGTGTGTGTAGTGGGGCAGGGCTGCAATGGGCTTAATGGAAATAAGCTGCAGGGAGCCAGAGGAGGTGTCATATGGATCTGAAGAACAGAGAGGGAGTTCACTCACAAAGAGACTACAAATACCTCTAATCTTTACATTGTCAGTCAAAGGGACCGTAACAAACTGTCACACTCCCTTATTGTCTATTTTCCCACTCTCTCTCTCATCACCTTGTTTCTCTCCGGCTGACACTGTGGGATTATGTCATACATCCAACGCCTGTGTCAGCAAATGAAGTGGTGGATGGAGATGACGGATCACAAAGATAGCGTTGGCTTCAAAAGGTTGTGGCAATGCATCTCTGTGATAGATGAAAGGAACTGACTTTGCACTTTTATTCTTTATCTGCCATCAGACAAACTGGATTTAGTTTCAGTTCCCCTTAACTCAGTTGATGAATTATTCAAATCCAGCCATTAAGAAAATCATAATCTAGCAGGCTCTATCGAATTTACGAGCAAAGTATGTGAATTCGATTAATTTAACTCACATCCACCACATATGGAACATTTAGCAGCAGCTGAATAATACGGAGAATAGTTCACAATATAAAAAGGCTTTTACTTTACTGCTCTGCTGCATCTTAGAAGAGCACGAGATGTGTGGCTTAATGTTGAATTTCCGAATATTTGCATTAGTGAAAAGTGTGCTTCTGCCAGTGTCTATGGTCACAGCATCCGCTAATCTGACATACTGTAACATGTCAGCAGAGTGTCTGTCTCATGCATATTCATTGGGTCCATCTCTGCTTACTGCTGAGTGGATACCTTTCTAGCTGTAAAAAATCTGCAGTGGCGGTGCATTTCTCTCAGAGAACCTGTGTGCCTGAGAAAGAGGGACTAGAAAAGTGTTTCAGGCGGGAGAGATCGGGAAAAGATTTTGGGGCATTTGTGACACTTCTGACCTTGTCTGCAAAGTAGGGGTAGAATAAATCATTTGTATTTGCATCAGTGTGTGACTCTCACCGTCCCTCTTGCGCGTCTCCTCCTTTGTCAGTTTCTGCTGTGCTGTGACTTTCAGCACTGACAAGCCCCTGCTGGAATTCAGCTTCTCTGATTCGTTGCTGATGACGGAACCATCCTCGCTCGGCAAATTGCTGCAAGTAACCATAGCAACAGGAAAAGGCGGTGAGCTCTCAGGAAGCTGGGCTCACAGCCAGGTTATGTCACCCCTCCCTTAAACAACCTCACCTTCCCTCTCCCTCCCTTATACAGTATGTGTTTTTTACATTTACCTGCACGTTTCCATTCATAAACATGTTTTATTTTAAGTTAATATGTCTCTTCTTCTTTATGTATGGGTCATGCATGTGTTAAAACCATTATGTGTGCATGTCTAATGTAAAAAATAGTTCTTCCATTAATTGAACAAACAATTGCTTCATCCAATTCTTGTTTCACTAGCTTCAAACGCTGTACTGTAGTTGGAATTAGAGCTGATCAAGCAGCAGCTCCGAGGACCACGAGGCTGACATCAAAGCTCCGTGGTCTATCCCATAATTGTCTGGTAAAAATGATAACAGCAAAGAGAGACAGAGGAACAACGGCTGCCCTCCCTGCTCTCGTCGAGGCAGTGCTGCAGAGAGCTAACTCCAGTCACAGGCTCAACAGAGACGTGTAATAATTAATTGAGGTATATGTTTGATCCTGTGTTGGTGTTTAGAGGCTAACAGATGTGTGACCTTGATACAAATGAAGGGATTTCAGAGAGGAAGGAGTAATTGGACGTGATTGTATACAGCATGCCTGCATGAATGTGTTTTAAAGTGTTTGTATCCAATATGCATAGCAGCATCCTACACATAAATACATGAATAATCCTATCTATTTGAATAGGATTATAATATGAGGTTGCACATTCACTCAGATGTCAACAAAAACTGTGGGCCTACACCTGATTGATTAAATGATTCGCTTGTCTGTCAATCTTGGCATTATTTTATTGTGTGATGATAGCATCTCTGCATACTTAAAATATTGAAAATGAAAGAACTAGCTTGTTTTATCCTGGGATGCTAGCAAATGGCTCATTGAAAACGGGTTAAACTACTGAATTGTGACTTAGGACCTGAAAAAAAAACCGCTAGACCAACAGTTTGATAAACAACATATGAAAAGCCTTTGCTGCCTGAGGAATCTCCAAAGTCATTACTGCAGGACCTCCAGTCTATAGATTCCCTCTTCTGTCACATACATTTTATTTGATCTCATTATCCCACAAGGCGTTGAGAAATGGCACCCTTTAATCGGGGATTTCAAATCCTCGATTTAATAATTTAGCATGATTTAACATGGCAATTAATTTCTGAAACAACGCTTCTGACTGTCGGATGAGTAAAATGGTCAATATAACCTGCCTACATAGAGCGCTCTGTTAATGACCGCCCATCACTCAGCATCGGGGTAGAATGAGGACATACAATCGAGCTGGAGGGATCCACATGTTTTATCATCCGGCCTCTGCCTATGCGACCCAAGAGCTTTCTGGCACAGCAGTGGTGCAATTGTTAAGATAACTGCACAAACTGTAAGCATTTGCACTTCCCTTTAGGAGGCTGCTTGGCTTGGGTTTGACTTAAAAGGGAAATCTTAAAAAATGCCTGAATAAATGTAGATGATTCGGCTTATTATCATCTTTATGAAGTAGCATGCTTCCAACATGTTTACATTTTAACCAAGACAATTACAGCTCAGATAAACAATGTTAAGCAAAAATATACAGCTCAGCCGTGCTTTTAAAGGGAGATTCGCGAATTATAATGACCGCTGTGGAGAGGATAAATACTTTGTTAAACTTTTTTATACCAATAATATTTTTTTATCTCTAGGTCAGCATTTTGTCTTTAAGACGTGCTAGGTTATAACATTTTAGAATTGTTGATGATACAGATTACAACATTAGGAGTGTGCGTAGATATAATGATACCTCTTGTGTTTGTCAGACGAAAGGCTTTTCTTGTTGGCAGTCCCATCTTGCTGCAGTGCCTTTTCTAGTGAAAGTGGCGTGTCCCGAATTTGTAGAGACATCACGAGTGTATCCTGACTGGCAGGCAGTCCGTCCTCATCTCCTCCCTGCTGGCCCAGGTGCTGCTTGGCATAGTCAAACCCCTGGACTGGCTGATGGACAGGTGTCAACAATGGAGAAAGACAAAAGAGACAGCTTTAAGTATGATTATTTTCTATCCCAATAACTATATTCACATTAATTGATCATTGATCGGGGAAACATCGTTTTTACATTCAAACACCAGAAGTGTCAAGCCAAATAGAGAGTCCAGAGGACTTAGTAACAGAACTGGAATTACTGTGCAGCCTTAAAATAGATAAGCACAGATTCAACTAAGGCCTTTTTTACACCGAGTTCTAAATTATTGTCAAATAAATGCAGTGGGCAGTGATTCGATGAGATCTGCAGTCTCAGTAATACAGTAGGAAAGGCAAAAGTTATAGGATAAGAAGGAGGAGGAGAACACTGGATGCGAACATGTTTATAGTGCCTGTAAGACCAACAGAGCACGCACACACACACACACACACACACACACACACACACACACACACACACACACACACACACACACACACACACACACACACACACACACACACACACACACACACACACACACACACACACACACACACACACACACACACACACACACACACACACACACACACACACACCACACACACACACACACACACACACACACACACACACACACACACACACACACACACACACACACACACACACACACACACACACACACACACACACACACACACACACACACACACACACACACACACACACACACACACACACACACACACACACACACACACACACACACACACACACCAACTGAAACATTAAGGACTACTCTCATTGCAGTGTCATAAATTGTCAGACACACATCACTGCCTTAATGCAGCCATGCTGTGGAGAGAAATCCATACTTGATACTCCCCCAACTGAAGAACATGCATCCTTTCTCTTCCTATAGCATACACACATACATATAGAGAGTAAAGATTTTCTTTGGATCCAGTCTTCTCTCAACTAAAAGTGCTAATGTGGCTGGTATCAACAGTTGAAACGCTAACAAGGGTGTGTGATGAAAGGGTTTGTCGTACAGATGGTGAAAGCAATACAGAAGAAGCATTGCAAGAGCCTCATTTACATTTTTAGGAGTCACTCTTTCTAGCTTTTCCATTACTTGTTAGAAAGAAATGGCTGTATGTTCTGCCTAGAATGCTATGTTTTGTCAGAAGGCACCCAATGGTACTTAATTATATGGGTGAATTAAGCCTTGTTGTGGTTGATGAGTATACAGTACAGGACACAGTATACAGTATGTTATTTAGAAATAAATGCTCTAAAAGTAGGACTGAAGTGTATTTCACATTTCAATGAAGATGATTTTATTACTTATGATCTGCTGAAATTCCACTAATCAAGCAGTGGGATGATAAAAGTTATACAGCTTTTTAATTCTTCTAAAATAATGTATAACAGTGAAGAGAGCAACTGAGCAGGAAACACCAACAGACATGGAGATGCAGCGATGACTGTGATGAAGACATTGTGATGACACCTTTGATGCAACAGTGTTCACTTTCTACACAACACAGACAGCTGTCAGTACAAACTCTCTGATACATTCATTCTGCTCGAAAAAAACATCTCAACCATAACTATTCTCTGTAAAGCTTCCTCTTTTAAATGTGACATCTGGAGACCACTGTAAGAAGAATAGGCAATACCAGCCTTTCATCCAATGAAAGCCCAATGTGAAGGGTTTGTTATTTCAAAGTGCTTGTGTATGCTAAGTTTTCATCAGCACAGCCGATTTATCGAAATATATCGTAAATTATGTCTTTCCATAATACTTTTCAAATCCCACTGATACGCAGTTAAGCCCATGAAAAAGCAGATTGGTAATTAGAGGATATACAGAGGCAGATACCTGGTGATAATAGCCCACATCTCTCCGATACGCCATCTGAAAACAAGAGAAACCATTTTTAAATAGTGGGTTTGTTGTTCACAAGATGACTTGGATTCTCCCAATGCAGAAAAACGCAACCCAAGATATACAGAGGGCATCATTAAGATAGCAACACAATAGACATTCTGTACAAAAGTCACAAGCACATTGACCATATCCACATTAGACACTGACACAGACTGAACCACAGTCTGCACAAAGTAGCTATAAAGTCATCGAGAGAGAGTTACCTTAGCTCTGGGATTGAGGTTGCCGATGGCATCAGCTTTAAAGTCATTTTTATTCTTCCGGCACAGCACAGCTGTGATGATGATGATAATGAGTGTTACTACGGCAATGGGTGCTAGCACTGCAGCGATTATCCAAAGGTTATTAGGAGGGTTCTTGACCACAGCTGGAAAAAGAAAAACACTGTTCACCATCATCACTTCATCACACGGCATCCAGCAGACCTAAAACAGTAAGTCTATTGATTGGTTCATTGGAAGTATAATACAAAGCTCACTTTTCCTGCTATAACTTACAGGAGCATCCGTCACACCCACGCTAAGTGACACTGTGTACAGCTCAACCTGATATACAGTGCGCCTGATTCAGCTATTGTCGGCCACAATCTATAAAATAATGCAGCGTGCACTCTTTCTTTCGTTCCCTCTCTCCTGACCGGCTCTGTCTCCACCGCTACACCATTATTCTCCATTTCTCTTAGCAGTGAGCTGCAGCCTAAACAAACCGTGTCTTGCCGGGAGCATTTCAGAGAGATTAGAGAGCACAGAGTTTTCTCAACCTTTTCTTCTACTCCCCTCTCCCCACCATCAGCTATTCTTTCTAAACTCAGCATGAGTCATGTGTTTTGGTTTGCATGTCTGTCTGTCTTTGTTTCTGTCTGTTTGCCTACTTGAAAATGCTCAAAGGATGCTTTGCTTACGTTCTGCTTGCACCTGGACAAAGAAGCCCAGGGTGAGCGCCATGGTCTGAGAATCCACTGTGTTCAGGACCTTGGCAGCAGACGTGCCCGATAAAGGAACGCCATTGTGCTGGACGTAGTAGGTCATCTCTGCTGGATTCTTCAACACCGCCACCCTACGGATACTCACCATCTGATTGGAAAGAGGTCAATATTAGCTTGGCAGACTAATAGAAAAACTGGAAATGATAAAACATCACAATATCCTTTCTTCTTTCCTCTTTGTGTCTCTTCCCCTCTCACTTTTCCTCTTTTAGTTTTAGTATTACTGATAAAACTGATTGTCTTTTAAATACTTTCAGTATCCTCTGTGGTAAATTATAAGAAAAATAAACATATGAAAAGAAGGCTGTAATTGAAAGTCTGGTTCCGATGTTATAACATTTTCATTTGAGAATTGAAATACCAAAGTAAAACCACTCATTTAAGCGTGCAGTCTCATGGGAGGAAGAACTACATAGACTTACACAGTACTTGTTTGGTTAAACATTCAACCTCTGGCTTGTTTTCATGAGCAATTAGCAGATGATGAGCTGAGAACCTCCCTAATTATTAAGGGCTGACCACAAGTAATCATCCAAGCTTGTGCATCAAAGTGTACATCTCATGAAATATTCATACTGTAAGAAATATGCCAATAAAACCATTGGACTAATTTGTTCATTAGACTTCTGACTAACAAGCGTTCTGGCAAAATATCTGAATATTTTCGCTCTTTAACCCAGAGCATCTCAGACTATTAGTGTTTCAGTGAAAGTGAGACTTGGCATTCCCTGTGGGATGCTGTTCCAGTTTCTTACCTGAACAGTGTAGCTGCCTACAGCGGTGGCTCGTCTGAAGCGGCTGCCCTGCTGCCCGGCCAACACAAACAGCTCAGCCAGACGCTGCTCCATTAGACTGGCAAAGCTTTGGTACTGTCCCTCCAGGCTGGCGTTATCCACATCCTGGATTACTGCAAACGGAGACGAAAGAAAGAGGATGGCCAGATGGTTAAGAGAAAATAAATGATTGGGGAGGAAAGATTCTCACAAAGAAAGAAGAGATGCAAGTGTGTGAGACAAAAACACACTTGAATGTCTTTATATTTTTCTATATGGCATTAATCGTTTCCCATTTCCCGATAATTGGGGAAACGGTTGCTCAGAGGTGAAGTTCTTGTCTATCAATTGGACTGGGGGTGGTTCCCCAGACCCTGCAAGCAACAGATGTGTTGTTGGGCAAGATATTGAACCCCCTCCCCCCCCCCCCGCTCGCGACACAGATTGGGCCCTGTAGGTAGATCATTTGGGCTTGGTCATTTTAAAAGTAGCTCCCAAGCTGAAAAAGTGTGGGCACCCCTGATGTAGCACATTGTATGAAAGCCTCCACCTCTTTATTAATGTGTGTGAATGGTTGAATGCTGACTTGCACATGTAAAATTGCTTTAAGGGGTCGTAAAGAGCGTGAACTGCATTTAATTTTTTTCTTTTTAATAATGATGCTTTTCACAATAATTATGCTACGAAACCCAGAAGCAGTTGCCAACAGGCTGTAAGGACTTATGGTAAACTCATGTTGCTTTGTGTTTGGTGGACATTTAAAATGAATTGAATGATGGGAAGCCTGATCTGAAAAGCCCATCCATTATACAGCGTAGCAATGTGGGTGCCCTTCAATATTGTAAAATGTATGCATGCTGCTGGATGCATGCAATCATTCACAAAGCCAACAGAGAAGATATTAACAGCAGACAATCCAGGAGTCATGGGCATCTCACTGCTTTAGGCTAAGGTAAAGTATGTTTCCATAAATAGTACACTTTACATTCACAAACACCCGGTTCAGGTATAATTTGGACTTTGTAGTTGTTAAAAATGTAACATATTAGCACTTTAGAATTATAATGTTTGCATTAAACAACAACAAAACACATCATTTTCCTAAGAATAAGTCTATTAATATTTTTGTTTGAATAGTTGACTTTATGATATACACACCTGTTATTACCCAGAAGTCTCTGGTGGCAATAGAGGTGTTCAGATTGTGGTACTCCAGTGCTGCAATGACATACAAAAAATCATCCCCCGTCAGCATCAGCAATAATCGATTGTGAATCTTTATGTCTAAAACGTCAATAAAAAGGTTTTAACTTCCTTGGATTAGATACATTTTCATTCAATATTGAAATTCACTCTTTAGATTTTTACTGTAGCAAAATAGAAGATTATATAAAACCATTTGCCCAAAAATTATATAACACAGAAAAACAGACATTAATCTTAACATGGAAAGACATAAAGGGAAAATGAAAATAGGACAAAAAAACTTAAAGCAAAGTTAAATCTATAGAATTACATGATCCTTTTTTCGCAGTGCTTTTGCCTTTTTTTTACTTTAGGATGTTTGTCAACAAAATAGCTGCAGCTTTACTACGATATATCACAATCAGTCATCAATCTTTAAATGTTGAAGAACAATTATGCAACTGTTATCTTTGCCATATGAAACCATTCCAGTGTGGTTGTAATCTCAGTTTACACCCTCATTATCACTGCATCTCAGACAAATACAGAAGCATGCAGAGCTTTCACCTGCTTGAGCTCTGTCTCTGTTCTTTTACATCTATTTCCTGCCTGATTAAGCTCTTGTGCTGGAGGCTAGTGAAGTGGGAACGATGTATCACTGGCCTGTGAAAGCATGTTCTCTACAGATATGAACACTCAGGCATGACAGGAGAGAGGAGAGAGGGGTGAAGGAGGAGCAGGCTGAGAGAAAAGGTAAGGTCTTTATTATTGTTAATGGATAGAGCTGCAGGGCTTTCAGTACACCATTGTCTATAAGTTAGGATCATTTGGTATATTAGTCAATGAAGAGGCTTCCCATGAGCCTCTGCTGTTGTGTGATGAGAGCCTGGGGTCATTTCAAGAAGGGGAAATCACTTCAAATTCATAGAAAGAAAGCCATTATTAAAAGAATATTTCTTTTTTTGCATCAGCATATGGTATAAAAAGAGATATTTTGCAAAGAGCTCTACTCATATTCCACTTGACAGAAAGATTTGAAGGGCAAAGGGGAAGTGAAACAGCTGAGCGCAGCCGTCCAGCCTAAACAAGCGCCACAGGAGCGACGGGGAACTCTGTGGTGCTACAAACAGGCCGGGTGTGAGTTCCCAGGCCTTTTCTGTCAGAGCAGAGCCCAAGGTGGTCTGAGAATCCCCCACTGTTCATTATTTACTGAGATAATTGCCTTTGAAGTGAGGAGGCAGCCACTGCCAGCATATGCTCACATCCACTGCGAACACCAATACCACTAATGCTGAGGCTACAAAACAAACAGCAAAGCCACTGTCATGAGCTCTTTTATACTTTCTTTTACTCTGACGTCTTCCTGGATTGTTCTCTGTGTCCGTTCATGCTCTCTTTTTAGAATCACTTTTCGGGACTGAGTTGCCTCCCCCTCTTTTTTTCTGCTCCCAAACTGAATCATCCGGCCTGTGGGTAACTTCACTTTCTGACTTGATTCAATCACAACACAAAGTGAGTTTTAATTTAATGCTCGCGAGCAGAAATCCTATTCATCTCGATTTCGACAGTGAATCAACCAAATGTGCCCTCAGAGACGCTGAGGTTGTATCCTAAATGAGGAACTGCATCCTCAGAAACTGTATTAAAGGGATACAACCCCAGAGTAGTTATGTTTTGGAGGAAACAGCCAGAACCAGGCATTGGGTTCAGCTTGTATTCAATCACATGTGAATATATGGAACCTTAAGTATGCCATTGCAGGAGGTAAATAACAGAGGCCAGGCAAAACAACACCTATATTTGTTCTTGTAACATACACATTCATCTGTTTGCAACTCATATATCAATATTTAAATTACTCTATAGACTATTCTGCACTGTTTCTATTATATCTATTTTATTTTATTTACTGTTGGAGGAGCCTGTGACCTAAGATGTTCATTGTCATAACTACAATGTAGCTATGCACTCATGACAATAAAAGCCTTGAAACTTGAAACCATTCAGTAGGTCCTTGTGCATTTAGGCATTAGTCAACTAATCGAGCAAGGTAGCAGTCTCAGCCTTGCCTTTCACATCTCGAAAAGGACATCCAGAAAGACAGATAATATCCAACATACTCCAGTCTTAACAGCACTAGACTGAACATGAAATGTTTGTTCTAAACTCTCCTCAATATGGTCCAGCCAGTTACAATCTTTAGCCTGTGTAAACATTGGGTTTAGCAAAGGAGAACAGAAAAATTAAGGTTTTTCAAGATTGGGATCAGCTAGATGATAATACAGGTTAACCTCATCCCTGACTCCAGCTGTGCTCTGCTTTGACCCTGCATGAATTTGCATAGCCGAAGTTTTGATGTGTCAAACTGACTATAATGTCTGGAGATATTCCAGCAAGAAACCATTAAAAGTAAGCTGGCAAGATGTATTCCTGCTTGAAAGGAAACTTAACCATAAACCTCTGAATTTCTTAAGTCTTTTTGACCCAATGTGTCTTTATGTAGATTTTCACTTGAGCGTTATATATTAAATTCATTATGCAAGAAACTGAGGCCCCTTTTGCACTTATAATCTGAAACACAACGTTCACAGAGGAGGTGAAGTGTGGTTAGAGGAAGAGCATTTCTAGTCCTCGGTCAGTGACTACACAGGATGCGTTCAGGTTCAGCTTTGTAATAGGACTACTGAACTGTACTGTATTTAAAAGCAGATGATTGAACTCCAAGCTCTCTTCTTATGTTTGACAGTTTTCTGTCTTGTGGTTTCTTGTCTTTTGTGGTGAAGCCAAAGATAATTTTTCCACTGTCGACCATAACATTTCTAACCTTACCTGAGTTTTGGCAGTCTGAGCACAATACAATGTCACTGAAGTGTTATACGAAAGAAAATAGTGTTGAAGCTCAGAAATACACTTTGGCTTGCGGTACACATAGAGAGTAATATGTGTGTGTAAAAGCTTGAATCCCTATATCCGCTGCAGGTCCTTAGATCTTTTGCTGAACCTATATTCTGAATTTACTCTGAAGGCATACAACTGTGAATCTCTGGTTCAGGGATCAATAAAGTGATGTCTCATACAGTATGTCTCTACATCTGCTATAACTCCCTCTATTGAACGGTTTACATATGACACAGTAAAAAGGCTATACATTAGGATTCCACTAAGATTTCTGTTTAGCCTCCTGCTGATTGCCTGCCATTCTTCATTTGTTTTTCTCTGAATACAACTCTAGCAAAGAAGGAGAGCTTGGCTAAGTATGCCCTTAAAGGAGGCTGAGATGAAAGGCATGGGCTCAGTTGTGTCCCTGCATCAACTATATTTAAGTGACTCAATCATTAAAACACAACTGTGATCGTGTAAGCAGCAGAACTGTCGCAAACATCCAATTACTAAGAAGCTGGACGTCAATCAAGCTTAGCTATTTCATTCTGAGTTCTAGCATTGCTTAGATAGACTTTCTTAAACACTAGGGTACATATAAATCCAAAATAATGCTAAGAAGATAAGTAATTGCAATACACTAAATCAACTACAGTTTATCACGTTGGACTTGGACTTGATTTCTACTAGTCAAGACAATTAATATATATCAGTTCCTTTTTCAAAGGTCTTTCGAAGATATGGGATAAGCATGCTTTGTGAAAAAGCAAAGACAAAAGGAATAAACTAAGAACAGCAAGATTTTATGTCTTTATTTATTTGTATTTAGTATACTGTAGCATGTTGCATTGTAGGAGTAGCCTGGACTTCATTTGTTAAAACTATACTGTAGCATATGACAACAAATCCTTTGGATCTTGAATCTTTTTTTGAATGTTATTGTTGAATCGACTTTGAGTTTGGAGAACAAATCGTTCCAATAAACAACAGGAGCAATGTATTGTGTCTCCTCTTGTAAGGCTGCTGAATCACTCCTGTCTAACAGATGTATTTTGGAATGTACATTGTAACTTACGCTCAGCAATTGCAAGTGGTGGATAGAACAGGAAGTAGCCCACCAGCTCAGCTGACAGCTGACCGAGGAGGTTTGAGGCAGCGGTGCCATTAAGGTAGACAGTCCCGTTCTTCACAGTGTAGACCAATGACACAGCAGGAGAGTCTGCTGCCTGGGAGACATTCAACATCTGGAAAAAAACAGGAGGAGTACAGGCTCCGAGTCAGAAGAGGACGCAGAAAAACATACATAGTTAAACCACATAAAATGTCTGAAATGACATTACTGTTATGTTTAAATCTAAAATATGTGTTCAAATCTTCTCATACAAAATGCAAAACGGAGGAGAGAAGTAACACAATGGGAAATTGGCAAGGTACGAAAGAGTGTAAAAATGTTGGTGCATTATGTTTTTCTTCCATGCATAACCGTCAATTAAGCTTTAATATTGGGTGCACTTTAATGTGTCAGTTTATAAAAAAATCTATAAACATTGCCTCCCTAAACATAATTAATGTTCACCCTTAAAGCTGCTCTTGTATAAAAAGCAACGCCTGAAGGGGACAATTTTGCAGAAATTGTACACAGTATGCAGCTGCCAAATCACCTAAAGGACAAAGCTAAATTGATCTGTCATGGCAAGGGGACAAACCTTTTAAAGTAACAAATATGCCAATATGCTGCATATAATATGAATCAGACTCCAGCTTAACTTCTGTTTGGGTTGCTGGATGGTATTGTATACGTGTTGTACAAAATGGATCATCAGGGACATCAGGACAGAACTCATATCCGAACACTTGGACAATGTACTAATGCAGTTCAACACTGGCACAAATCACAGCATTGCCACTGTAACAGCTAGCACAACACAGAGCTACACCACTGTTACACAACATTACCTGAACAGACAGTCTGTTGTTGGTGCTGAGCACTTTGGCCTGCGCTTCAGAGAACACCTTCTCAAGCCTCTGCTCCATCATTTGAGAGAACCGACAGGACCGAGGATCATCGCCTGCTCCCACAAACTGCAGCACTGGAAAATAAAAACAAATGTACTCAAAAACTGTACAGTAGTAAGGTAGTAATAAATAAAATCTTACTTTTAATAATTCTTGAGATTACAACAAAATTGCTATATTTGGATGTGTATTGGGAACACTTAGCATATGATATATTACTTTAGGTATTATTTATCTAAATTATAAGTAGACATGCACTTTTGTCATATTCTCCTCTGATGTATTACATTATTTATTTTGTATTACTTTGCAAACCTAGTTTCTTCTAAAAAAGGCTCCAGTGCACAATCGCAGCAGGGACAACTAACCGTATGTCTCAAGCTGTTGTCTGACTTATATTGTTTCTTTCATCCTGAGTGAACAGTAGCTGACCTGTTTTCAGCTGGAAGCCAGGGGCCGGGCTGGATCTCCATAATGCAACAGGGAGGGGCAGGGCTGTTACCATGGGGAGGTACTGTCGCAGGTCTGAAATCAGCTTATCACGGCCATAGGAGTCCAAGCTTTGCAGCACAACAGAGGCAGGGTAAACCATGTCCCCTCCGGTCACATGATAAGCCACCGTCATGTTGGGAGAACCAAATACTGTCTCCACCTGAGAGGGTAGAGTAGAGAATAGACATACATATTAATAGTTTATACCATGTTTTATTACCAAAACAGAGAAATTAAATACTCACTAAAAAAGCCATAGATAAGCAAAGTTCAGTATGAATGTTGAAAAAAACTGTTTAAAACACCAACAGAATATAAAGGCATGCTTAGAGTCCTAATTAAGTTGAATAAAATATTCATTAAGAAATAGTCTTTTTTATTTATTTTTAGTCTATTGTTGTATTCGCTGTAGAATAAAAAGGAATTTTTCATCACATTGGTGCAATATTTGAGTGTATTCAATGTACCCATAAAGCTTTTATTTGCTGCTTGATTGGCATTATTAGCCACAAAAAAAACACGATGATGTCCTGGACGGGTGACAAATTTCATCTTGTGTTCATCTTCTATCACACTGCCAAGACTTTTCAAAATACCATCCCCATGTTTTTGTGTATTTCTTTACTGTTCAGATTGCTTTAAATTGGTTTTATTATAGTATGAAATGTTAGATTTGCCAAACAATCTGCACTAATGCACATTCTATGGACAGTCTTGAACTAATGTACATTGTCATAATATTGAAGTGACTTATTTTGTACATATTGATTGTTGTGTTGTCATTTATGTCTTAATGTGTGCACATGTAAAAAGGTGTGTACTGTATATATATATATATACATATTTGCACGCATGTTTTTATATTTTATAGACATTTGTTTTTATATTCGGGATCGTGGGAAACAGTATTTCGATCTTTCTGTCTGTACACAAACTGGAAGATTGACAATAAAGTTGACATTGACTTTGACAATGCATAATACAGATAAACTATGACAACACATTTGCATCACGTTACCTTTTCTACTTTACCTTCTTTGTCAAAACAATTATTGTGTTGTCAAATGTGGTCTGAATTTGTTTTAGCTGCTTCATTTTTAGGGTCTTAGTACTTTGCATGCTGGCTCACTGTCACACTGTCAGAGCTTACTGGTTCCCAAACAGGACGGTGTCATCGTTAATGTTATTAACAACACCTGTGCTTTTTTACTGACAAAGTCAAAATGTCTGCAGTTAAAAAAAGGCCTGTCTGAAGCAGGTTTAAAGGTTATTTTCATGCCATACTGAAGTAATAAATGAAAAGAAACCACCCACTGCATAAAAACGAGTAAATCCTTCCCACATTTTGCACATTTCTTTAAAGAATGGTCAACTTTATTTGTAAAATACTTTTGAGTGCATCGGCAAAAACCTCTTGGTGGTATGATCCTTTAGGCAGGATGAGAAGGTAGCATCAATCAGTCATATTAGCAAATGAGCTGAATGACAGGATATAAAACTGTAATGGATTGATTGAGCTCTTCCAGAGTATATTTCAACTCCTCGTTGATGAAAGCTACATTAGATGGAGTGATTTTGGAAAGCAAATATGTGGAAAGAGAACCAGAAGGAACTGAAGGGCTGCTGGCAGAGAGACAGGAGAGTAAAGATGAGCGAGACATTGGAAGAGACTGATAAATAGGGAGATTTGGACAAAGAAGATTATGTTCCTTCACTTCTAGCGCTAGAGGCCAAGCAATCACCACATTTTCATTGTGACACAAACACAGGTGAATGTGTAATGACACGCACCAATGTATGTGTTTGTCAGTAAAAGTTTGACTTTCTGGTGAACTCTACATACACGGAAACCGGAAAGGGAATGATGACAGATGCAGTGAAACTAGTTGTGTGTAGGAGAGGTGAAACCATTCAGGTCTGTTATCTAAACCCATCTGAAAGCCTGTGCTGACAAGGGGACACACTGACCAAAACACTGAGAGCCTATCCTCTCTGGAGCTGAGAGTCACCACTCTGCCTCCTCACAATTCAGCCTTGTTGGGAGCGCTGTGAAAAGAGCCCTTTATTATCACTTCATCCTCTCAGGCTTCAGCCATGTGAAGGTGTTATTAAGAGATTGTATTTCCAGCAAGCCAGAGATTGGTAATACACCCACTAACTCTATCTCAAAGAGTGTGAAAGACGTCCAACAGATTAACCCAATGGATATAGTCAGTTTTCTAAAAAGTTTTAAATCCCTGCAGAGCTGTGAATAAATTGCCCAAAAATAGCATACAAGTGTATACATTCTTTAGAGGTTTTCAAATGGGTTTAGCCTCGTGGTTCAATTCATTTAGTGTCTTCCTCATCATCTTTTTAGCATCAGCACACTGCTCTCCTTCCAACCATTTATAACCTATAATTAAACACAGAAGCAATTTCCCTTGCCAACAGCTTGCTTCCCATTGGATGAGAGAGCAGTGGTACCAAAAGGAACCCAAGCAATGTTGAAATGGGTGACAAGGGTGCAGTGAAGCATGATACCTTCAGAGACCAAACAGAGAGAGAGAGAGAGAGAGAGAGAGAGAGAGAGAGAGAGAGAGAGAGAGAGAGAGAGAGAGAGAGAGAGAGAGAGAGAGAGAGAGAGAGAGAGAGAGAACATATGAGAGCATTGACCTTCACATGCGCAGGACAACACACAGCCTCTCTCAATTATTTGATACTTCCACTTTGAGAAATGCAACACTTCGGGACATTTCACCGGATTGCAGCTATAAGACACACGCAGAGATGAATTTAAAACTTGCTCAACATTGCAACACTCTTAAGGCACTCCAACCCACTGGAGACCAGGAGGAGAGAAATTATTTTATGTAGGGAATGACTACCATTGCTGTTTTATTAAAACCTAATTTATCTCTGGCTTTTGAATTTGTTTTCTCATGTTCAGTGAATGTGCAGAAAGCACTCAAGCTAAAATCATTCCCAGGGGATGTCTTCATCTCTCAGTTTTACAGACAAGCACAATCATTGAATCAAACATTCACATTTCTACTTTTCACCAACAGCTTTTTAGCGTAGCTTCTCATAGCCAAGCGGAGGCATTAGAGGCTTTTTGAAATAGAGAATGGTTTTGGCACAGCAGGAGCCATGATTGGTTCCACAAATGGCTAATCCCGAGACATGAAGATCATTGTGTGTGCCCTGGATCTGTTGGTGCTATTATTGCAGGGGAAATGCTGGGGTTGGTTTCCTCCTGAGTTTCTGTTCAAACAAAATCTGGTTTAACAAAAAAACAGGTGCCATCAGGTTCACTGCTGTGGTAGGAGTATCTTCTGGTAAAATGTGAGTTAATTCTCTAGACTCTCTATTTGTAAATAAACATATTCATTAATATGATGAAATTAAGGCAACAGTCCTAATTCATTTTGTCTGGGTGTTGGTACAGCTTCTCCAATGTGTGACACCCACAGCCTCCAGGGACTCAGTCAACCTAATTTCTATATTTGTACTCATCTCTTCACACATAGCCTACATGCACGTCTCGTTTACTATGCTAATAATCTTCCTATTTCTGGCGCACAATTAGAAACCATTCTTTACTCAGTATTAGAAAATAAATGAATTATCAAGCCAATATCGAGTAAAGTAATATTAAATTACAGTCTACTACAATACAACTTAGAAATAAAACGAATTAAATGCAAGCTTCAAATAAATCTGATAATGTGATTGAATTAAGCAGAAATACATAAGTACCTTTTATTTCACTTCATGGTCAACTTGTCTTACTGCACTGATTTCATTGCTTTCTGAATTAATTTTAAATTATTTTCAGCATTCATTTAGATTCTAACTCCACTTTAGTAGGCATACTGATGATTTTGAAATGATGTGGCATGGAGATTTTAATGATGCAAAATCTTCAACCTTATTAACATTAAGAAAAGATTACACTCTCCGGATGTAAACTAAGCATGCTATTCCAACCCAGTCGCACGGCATTTCGTGTTCACCAACACGATCTTTAATCTATTGATTCGTGTTCACCAACACGATTTGCCCCTTTTTTTCGTGTTGCACAGCACGATTTTAAAAGCAATGTATTTCTACTGCCTGCAGCACGTCTTTTTCTCCGGTCGGGTCGAGGAAGACCGGAAGCTGTGTGGTTCATAAAAACATGTTCTTACTCAATATCAAGCCACAGTTATTGCTTTTATTTGAAATCGTATAATTTCTGACTTTTGTTGCCGTCTGTGAGGAAAATAAATGGGGCTCAGAGCCTCAGAATACGGAAATCTGTATTTTTAAATATTTTGTTCCTTCTAATTCGATATTCTTTTCAAAATAACACACTGTTATTTACTCACCAATAACACACAATTATCCTTGCTTTTATTTATTGGTTTAATTCCATAATCTCGGGCTTTTTTGGCGTCCGTCAGGAACTGAATTTCAAAATAAAAATAACCGGAAACAGGCGATTGTCAACATTTCTGAGTTTAGGATGGCCGAAGACACTACACTACCCATAATCCCCAGCTATCGTTTAGGACTACAATCCCCGTAAGGTTACGCAGAGCGTCAAACAGCTGTGTGAAATGGAACGAAACCACGCCAGACTATCCAAAACTGGAATCGAACGCCCCCCCAGAACTACACATGCTGGCTATTGTGTTTCGCAAAATGTTCTATGGGACGTCTCTACTGAACGTTTTCGTTTTTCCCACAATTAGAAGTTGCCAGTATTAAACACATTGGTGTTATCAAATGTAAAACATATAATTAATAAATGGGTGAAAATCGCTTGTGTCCATAATGCGCAGCATTAATACCCACATGACAGCTCATTGTTACTTTGTAATTCTACTCCACTACAATTCAGAGGTTAACCTGGTATTTTTACTCCACTGCATTTATTTGAGTTACTTTGCAGATTCTGATTAATTATGTGAAATATAAACAACCCTTAAATCAGACTTTAGTTACACCTGAGTAAAATTCAGGGAAGGTGATTGTCAAGTGCCAACAATCAGGAGAGATATTTGATAGTTGGTGCTTGAGAAGACTAAACATGTATCTGCAATTGACATGAATGGAAACGAGTAATAAAGTATATTCATTACTTGTTATTCTCTACTAATAGTTCATTAAAGACTGTATATTATGGCTATTTTGCACATCCCTTTCAAGATTTTCAAAGGTGTATTGACATATCATATACACAACTACGGTGTAGTTATGCAATGAATGAAACACTTGGGTCACAGGTTCCTCAACAGTGCATTACAAGACATCTATCAATATGTGTGTACCTCCACCATTAAACTGTCATATTCTGCACATTTCTTATACTATCTACATACATAAGAGTATAATTCATATGTATAATATCAGTTAAAAAAAGTGCTTCAACATAGTTAACATTGCAGGAAAGCAATATATTAGACGTTAAGTACTTTGTCATGCTTAATATTTATCTGTAGATAGATACCCCCAAAGTGTTTTTCTTATTTAAAAGAAGACCTTAATCTGTTATTTAATGTTTAAATAAAGGTTAATTCGTTTTTCTGTTTTGCACCTCCTCCTATTAATATCTTTGTACATTCTGCACTAAACTGTTTTATTGTAGAGATCACTTATAGTATCTTCTTGATTTTTTATATTCTATATTTATACTTTCCCCCTATGAAAGTATGTACTCTTAATATTTTTTTAATCAAATAAAACACAATAATTCAATAACGTGCTTTAACCACTAGGCGGTGCACACAAGGTACACACAGCCATAATAACTTTGTATTATTAGTGTAGGACACTTTTGTTTTCGTACAACATCTGAAAATGTGTAGTTTTATGCATGCTTTCACATAATTTTACAGCATATTGCTATACTATTTCAGACTCAGTATTTACATTCTTACATTCAAAGAAAATCAGTAATATCTTTAAAAACTACAGTCCTTTTATATCAGCTGTGCACCGTTATGGTGTAAATATAACCTATCTGTGAATTAGATCAAATGTAAAAGTCAGCCGAATTAGTGTTGATACTGCAAGGAGACGTATTGTGTGAAGAGAAATTGAAGATGTTGTTTAATTGTTGAATATATTTATGATCCACGTCAAGTATTCAGTTTCGGCGGCATTTTCTCAGTTTTTCCAAAGGTCTTCTCATCAGGGCTCTATAAATAAAGAACTATGGCAGATCTGTAATATGTAATGCAGCCGAACCGTGTATTACAATGCCGTTATGTGATGACTTTCAAAGAGAAAAGCAAGAGCGCTCGGAATTAAGTATTATTTTATTATTTTAAAATGTTTTCCGGATTTCATATCATATTAACACCAAATCCCAGCATGCATTGCGGCTAAAACATCCAATAAGCGAGCTTAAAACCATAGCTGAGGATCTTGGGTAATCGCTCCAAATGCCTACGTCTGTTTCCGGTTATTTTTATTTTGAAATTCAGTTCCTGACGGACGCCAAAAAAGCCCGAGATTATGGAATTAAACCAATAAATAAAAGCAAGGATAATTGTGTGTTATTGGTGAGTATATAACAGTGTGTTATTTTGAAAATAATAACAAATTAGAAGGAAAAAAAGATTTAAAAAATACAGATTTCAGTATCCTGAGGCTCTGAGCCCCATTTATTTTCCTCACAGACGGCAACAAAAGTCAGAAATTATACGATTTCAAATAAAAGCAATAACTGTGGCTTGATATTGAGTAAGAACATGTTTTTATGAACCACACAGCTTCCGGTCTTCCTCGACCCGACCGGAGAAAAAGACGTGCTGCAGGCAGTAGAAATACATTGCTTTTAAAACCGTGCTGTGCAACACGAAAAAAAGGGGCAAATCGTGTTGGTGAACACGAATCAATAGATTAAAAATCGTGTTGGTGAACACGAAATGCCGTGAGACTGGGTTGGCTATTCGCAATCTGCCCTCAGGTTTAGATAACTCCTTCAGATGTAAGTAGCTTCAGTGATATTATCAGTAATACATCAATTGTTAGCACTTCTTACATAAGTTACATCATCACAGCCACAGTATATTCTTTGTATGTACGTCTGACTAGTACACTACGTACATACAGTATTACAAAGTTATCTCATTACGTTTTGACAAAAATAACGTTTTGATGGTTTCTCGTGCATTGGCTTTTAAATTAAATGTTTATTATATATTTATTTAACTAGGGAAGTCCCATTGAGATAAGAACAATATTTTTTCAAAAGGAGCAATGGCCAAGACAGAAGCAATGCGAACGTTTAAAACATGCTTATAATACATTATTTCATCCATTCATACAAATTATCTGAAGAAGCTGTATTTTCTAATTGAGTGATTAACAATACAGATAACAGTCTGACCTGTGCTTGGGCAGAAGTATCATTCAGAGCTTTTCGGAGGCCCTGACTTAATCCCCTCCGAAGGTTCTGCCTCTGAATGCTGTCCAGCCTGTTTCTTCTCACATAGATGGAAACCACTAAGAGAGAAATCGAGTCAGAAAGAACAAAAAGCCAAAACATTCAGCAGACAAAGCATGTAAGAGAAATACAATTAGGTTTTACCATTAAACTCTTTTGTGGCAAAATGATTGTTTACCTGTTTTCACCCACAATCTCTCTGTGATGTTGCACTGCTGTGGTGGAGCCTCTGTGGTGGTGGTGAAAGGGGAAATAAATATGGTTGTGGCCATCCTGGGAGGGCTTGTTCTGGGGACAAGTGGTGTGAACGTTCTCCTGGTGGTTAGAGTCCTGGTTGTTGTTCTTGTGGTGGTGGTGGTCGCTCTCCTGGTTACAGGCACAGGCTGTGGTGTTGCAGACTGTGTTGTTCTGGGGGAGACGCTTACTGAAGGCATGGTAGTGATAGGATTTTTTGTTTTGGTGGCAGAAGCTACAGTTGTGGTGGTAGGGGGGAAAGAGTCTGTCGGGGTGTCCTGCGGATGGGGCAGAGGAGATACCTGAGATGTCCTCTCGGTGGTGATTCTGTCTGATTGAGAGGGGGCAAGACTGGCTGCTTTTTCTTTGGGGAAAGTGGGCGCAACTTCTCTGGATGAGTCATCCGTCCCTGGCTCTGTAAGGACAACAAACGTCTCAGTCACTTCCTCTGAGCGACCAGGAACTATGATCAGACTTGGTGAAGAGGATGGAAATGTGGCTTTTACGGACATAGATGATGAGGCGGTGCTTGGGGGCATGGTTGTTATGATTGACAATATCTTACCAGCTGAATGTGACGTTGACAATGATGTCGATGAAGACACTGAAGTAGGTGGTTTTGAATGTAAGGAAGACGACTGAGACGTAAAACTACTGTATGATAGTGGTGAAGTCACTGAAGATGATAATGATGAATGGAATGAAGAAGATAATGGCCCCAGCTCTGTTGGACTTGTTAACCCCCTCAGTTTCAGATCAGTTATGTTATTGATTTTGTCAGTCTCTGTGAAATCGAGTGCAGGGTTTGTGGAAAGTGTGACCGCATCATCAAATGCATATTCAAGAGAGTCAACATTTGCCGGAGGGGGGCTGTGTTTGCTCACCAACGCAAGAGAAGAAGCTTTTGAAGATGTTACAGAGTCAGTGGTATTTTGGGAGAAGGGCAGAAAACCAACTGTACCCCATGCAGTGTTGACAGTGGCTCCTTGCTGTACAGTGACAGATACAGCAGATCTCAGATTAGCTGGGGACAAATTCAGTTTCTGTTTTTCATATTCAGATGTGCCTTTCACATGTGTAAAAGATGGATGTTCTCCAACAGTTGGAAATAATGAATTTAGATCACTGGTGACTACAGTTGGATCAGTTGAATTCAATAAATGCACATAACCCTCTTGTCCATCTTCCAGCTTTTGATGTTCATATGACGGGCCATCTGCTGGTAAATTAGAATTTCCCATATCAAAGCCAATAGATGTATTTTGTTCAAAAGCAGCAGGGCTCTGAAAAGACACAGGCTTGGTGGTTTTCCACTTTGTATATGATGCCATCAATTTTGTGCCAAAGCTGAAAATAGCACTAAGTGATTCACTGCTGTTATCACTGGATGAAGTAGTTGCAGCAAAGATGTCATTGGAGGGAATGGTTCTTTGTCTGCCTAAAAAAAAACTTGATCCATCATTTATCAGACTGGTGATTGGTCGTTGAGAGAGAGAAGCAGTGTTTTTCCTGGGTGTCATGGTGATTACAGACCAGGGGGATAGAGAGGAATGTTTAAAGCTTCTTGTAAGTGCCACATCGTCTTTATTAGAAGTACTTTTGAGAGGTGCATCAGATGTTACGGGAGAAAAAGGGATTTCAGTTGGAGATCCTTTGCCAGAACCCTCAGAGCCTTTATTCATCTTGAGTAAATCTTTTGTAGTTATGAAAGATGGAAACTGTGGTGTGAACTGCCCCGATGAAACAGTGTCTCTGTCGACAGTAGACTCCTCATTTCCACTAAGTAAAGAGGGAAATGAACTAAACTCAATTCTGACGAAGCTCTCAAAAGGCTTATATCCATGTGTCGTTTGAACATCTGAGGCAGGTGCGTTTTCATTTCTCCCAGCAGTTGTTTTAACCTTTAGAGGCAAAGACACACTGCGACCAGCTCTATCAGATTGTATGATATGAGCAGAGATTTCAGCTGTCTGGTGAGATTTAGTGGGAGGTGGATTTGGACCAGATGTTGTATAAAACGTAGGTAAAGATATTGTTTCAAAAGTACTTTGTGAGGTGGTTCTTTGTGGTAGGGTTTTGGGTTGGTCTGAATATATAACTTCACTAGTTGCAGACAGGCCAGTGTTGTCAACAAGAAATGAGGGTAATACGTTTCTAGGCTGAGTGGCGTGTGAAAGACTTTCATACGTGGTTTTATAGATCATATCCTTAGCCACACTAACTGGCAACGCTGAACCAGAAAGAGATGTTGTCTTACTATCGGAGTAATATATTGTTTCCGGTATTATCCATCCTCTAGGCTCCTGAGTGATGCCCTTGGAAGCTGTTTGTGCAACAAATTCTCCAACAGTTATGGCTTCATTAGCTGGCAAATGAAGCAAATCTGACTCAGATGTTGAGGATGTTGTTCCCGTGCTGGTGATCGAACTGAGGATGGATACACTGGTTGAGTCCAGCTGGGGTGAAAGTGAGTTACTCTGGTGATTTTGATTTGAAGTGGATTTGAGATCTGCTGCTGTTATATCACCCTGGTTGTAATTTATATTGATGGTAGGAACTCGGAAGCTACCGTGACCCACTGCCATCAGTAAATCACCAGGATTAGTTGCGTGCTCTGAGGACACCATGCTAGAGTGTGTAGGAGTCGGCTCAGTGATTGCAGTTTCAGGGAGAGATGTTATACCTGCTGGTGTCTCACTGGGTCTGAGGGTCATTGCTGGTGAAACTGTTAGATTAACAACATTTGAACTAAGAGGCGACATGGTTGTATCTCTAACACTTCTGTGAATAAAAGTCTGACTATGTATTGCTATCTTTTTTTCCTTTTCCCCATATGCTGTTTGAGTTAACATCTGCTGTGTGACATGACTGGAAACTGAATAGCCTTTAGGATGGACAGACAGAAGTGCTGATGTGGGATTTTGTAAAGCTCCCTGCTGCCTTTGAACAGCTTGACTCTCTTGATTGGAGGGAAATGAGCTGCTAATTTCAATATTATTGGCTGTTACAGAGTTCACACCTGGGATCTGGCTTTGAGTGGTTTTGTATAAAATCTTTAAAAGACTCCCTATATGATTCGGTGTAGAATATGAGTTGTATTTGCTTGTTGCTGATATCTGGATCACTTCTGTGCTTGCACTCCTTATGTATGCTCCACTTACTCCAAAGATTTTATCGAGTGATGAGTGTTTTGTCACTTCATTGCCCTTTTCAAGGCTGTTTTCACTCAGAAAGTGTGCTGGTTTGGGTGTTGTGCTTTGCAGTCTTTCTGTAACAGGTGGTAGTTCAACATATGAATGAGTGGTGGAGTGTGTGGTTGTAAGAATGTCGGTCGAACCTAGATACCCTGCTGGTGATAATATCTGTGGGTCAAGGCTGGACACTATACTTTGACCGTGAGATAAAGCTGCTTTGTTTGTCCTGCCAGCAGAAGATGACGGAGAAAATAAAGGCAGCACAGATGATAACAAAGGGGAAGTGAATGGAGCTGATGAAGACATTGATGATGATAACATAGATGGTGGCACTGTTGATAATGACACAGTCCTGTCTCCATCCATGAAGGACACACTTAATGGCCCAGAGATGGTTGATGTTATGGTAACAGCTTGAGGAGGTGTGTTGTGTTGGTGAGACATGCTGGAAGTCAGACCTGAGCTGGCGGGGGGAATCATATCTCCCGCAGACGACGATGAGAAGGACATCTTTGAGCCCTGGCTGGAACTATGTGAAGGCCATTGGGTGGTGTCGCTCTCGTCCCTGGTGATGGTTGGAGAGGTTATACTTTGATCCAGGCTCTCTGGATTTTTGACAGTTCCTGCCATCACGGTTAAGACAGAAGAAAAGGCGGGCTGCCCTGATAAACCTTCCCCCTCAGAGTCACCATCTGAATGGACGACTGAGAAAGGCAGGTCAGCCAATGGATGGGCAGGAGCAGCTGTGACTGCAGAATCACCTGGTAAAGACGAGAAGCCAGAGGCATCATAGGTGGGTCTTTCTGTTAACAGGAAAGAAAGTGAAAAGACAGATTAATATTGGTATTCATGCCAACAAAGAATTTCATTTGTACAGCTTTTTTTTTAATTCCATGTCAAGTGAGTCCATTAAAATGGTAATACATGTTATTAAAATCTCTTAAAAGGCACTGTAAGGATGGGTCAAGAGGTGGGAGCAGAACATATAAAGTTCGGAGTAACCTTCACCTGGTGTATAATTTAAGTTTGCATAACACCAACAGTTCCAGCTGGTTTTGACCAGATAGGGTCTGACTTCATTAAAAAAATACATCAATACAAGTACAAAAAGCTTTCAAATGAAAAGAAGCAAAACCTTAAATCAGCAAGAGAAAAGTAGGCCTATTGGTGAGCTAGTAGCAAGTATCCTCAACTCAAACAATGAACCTTCCTTGAGGAGCTTCTGGCCTTTTAACATAAACACCTCCTCCAGACAGACCAAAGTCCAAAATGAATTAAGAGAATACAATAACATGAATTTGTTAAACCAACAAAACCATCTCTGAATCATATATTCTAATATTCCTAACACTGAAATAACAAAAAACATATAACTTGTTAAGGGTAATTAACAAAGGTTATTTCTTAAAACTCTAATAGTTTTTCATTTGTAATGTTAATTATGACATAATGCATACTGATATTACCTGAGATGACTTATATTAGCAGGTTAGCAGGCTATTCTCACATGTGCTTACGATGTTTACATAAGAGAGAAACATGGATAAAACCTAGAAATCCAAACCCTGCTCTCATCAATGGCTCAGAACGGATCTACAAAGCATTAAAGAATTATTTATGAAAGCCATTGTGTACAACTTTTAAACCTATGGTGCTTTATTAGAAAGTGATACGAAATTCCGGTGGTCTGTAAGCAAAAAAAAAAACGTAATAAAACGACACAGTGATGCTCGTTAACTGGCAGCGTGAATAATCAGACTGCCTAAGGGGCGTGTGCGTGTTCATTCAGCCTGCATGTCGGCACAGAATTACCTTCTCTAAACATGACAGATGAAGCCATTACAAAGGGCCAGATATGTCACACCACCATATAAGACACCTGATTCCAACACTACACTGTTGTAGATAGCTCGAGTTGTACAAAACATCTGATGGTGTTAGATAAGCTGTCAATGTTTTTGAAAATGTTTAATGAATTGACTAATGAGGACAATCTTTTAATCGACTGTTAAGACACTGTGAATTCAACCTATGTGCCAAGGTGAAAATTACAAACTACTCCAGGTTTTCAAGGTGTCAACACATCCTTGTAATAGCCAGACAGCACTGTGCAATGTGCACCAAGGGGAAACATTTATGTATTCCCAAAGGAGAGAAAAATAGATACTCTTCAAAGTGGAAGAAATGGAATTATTCAAGAGATAGAAAGTGTAGCTTAGATAACAAACAGTGGACTCATCTTGCGTGGTTTGTGCGCAGAAATTACGCCTGAAGAGAGAAAAGATATGGAAACATACATTACAGTCACTATCATGAAGATGATGGCGCTGATTAATGCACCAAGACGGCCGACATGGAGTTGTCTCATCCGTCCCTGTCCTCTCTTCCACTTTCATTCTGAGCACATCCTTTACACATTCACAGAGGGGTTCTTTTATCCATTTGTAAAGCTTTGCAGTCCTGTCACACCTTCCACCCCCTCAGCATGTTTCTGCTGCTGAAGTGAATCCAGCCAGCACTCACATACAAGACCTTCAGTGTTAGGGAACCTTTTGATGACAAACTTGTACCTACAAAAATACTCACATACCATACATTTGTATTCAAACTTTTACCCAAGTTCGCTTAAATAAAAACAGTCTGTAAATTACTGAGGCCCTTGAGTCCATGTTTTCTGAATTTCACACATGGTGGTTACCCTAAGGCAGTGTGTACTTACATGCTGGCACTGTAAAGCTATCTGAAAGCATTTTTCTCTGTCTTTTGATATTTCCAACCAATGCATGTATGTAATACGATCTAAAACTTACAAATTCAGTTCAAGTTCCAGGTCACTAACTGTGAATGTATTCTTAAATGTCACCAATATCCCATAGAGTTGGCACAGTGCTTTTTATAATTTGTTTTCAGTGAAATAAATCTCTGAAATTGTATTTACTCCTGCTATTCATTTATTAAAGACAGCCCTTTCATGCTGTATTCGATATCCCACTTAATCCCTTTTCTTCAATAAATCACTAATATGCTCAGATGTGATTATACTGAAATTTGTAATCCATTATTAAAAACTGAGATATAAGACAAAGAGTTGTGAGTGGTTAAATGTATTTCTGTGATCACAAAAGAGCTCTCAGAAAACGAAAGGGTATGTGTCCAGCTTTAAGGCCACTAAAAGTCAAACCCCCTGGTCATTAAACTGAAAAAGCACTTCCTGTTCCCCCCTCCCCTGTTTAGTGTGCCAACATGGCAACATGAATGTGGGTTTGCGGGACGGAGGCCAGCCCGGACGGAGACGTGGGGTCCACCTGTGGTTTGCCACCTGCTCTGACAGCGCTGAGCATATGGGAGGATTTTAACAATTGACGAGTGAGTGAAGGTGTGCAGATAAAAAGGAGACAGTGATGGAGGCGGAGAAGGATGGGAATTTGGGCTGTGAAAAAAGAAAGTCTCCCCAAGATCAGAGAAATAAGTACAGCAGTTGGATAAAAGAGAATGAGAAAATGATTGAATTTGCAGGGAAGTGTCTGCCAGTCTGCAGGTGCTTTCCAAAGTTACCAATCCTCATGATTCCTCATTCTTCAAGCTTCAGACCTGAAGGGCAAATATCAGAAGATGTCACATTACTACAGGCAATACTAGGTGTTGTAATACTTTGTGGTATTACGTGAACTTCTTTGGAATATACCTAGTGGACATTTTTAGAGAAAGTGGCACTAAAATAAGTGAAGGTTTGAAGATTACCTGTATGTAACCTAAAATGTATCAACAATTATTATAATGAATTATTGTTTTTGTCCCTCATGCAACAACCATGCCAAATGTGTGCTGTGTTGCCAAACATTGATTGTTCAAACCCACAGAGATTTCTTTACAGTTAGTCTCAATGTCAATGCCAAAAATGCCAAATATGTCAGGCTGAATTTAAGGTAGTGTGTGAATAACACAAAAGACATCTAAAATAGTTTCATTTGATGGTTGCTGCCATTAAAAACATTGTATATTTTAATCAGTATAAAATGCATATAAGGTCAACAAAGAGCGGATACAGAAAGCTGTGTATGATAATGTCAAGCAGTGTGGAATAAGATATTTTTTCAAAACCATTTTATGAGAAATAGAAAGGGGAAACTGATTGTTAACGGGGTTAAATAACAATTGAAAATCAAAACCTACACCTCAAGCAATAATACATCTATATCAACAACATTTTTGGTTTTACTTTAGCCACTTAACGGCTCTCTACTCCTGACTTGTTTCGTAAACCTCCAGCAACCACCAGAAAACCACAGACCTCATTTCCACACTGATTTCCCCTCTGCAGCCGGCACTATCTAAGAGCTACCAGGACACAGACATGACACTGCCGGGCCTCCTGCTGCTCAACTCATATTATACACTGCTTCTCCTTTTGGTTTGAGCCGTTTTTGTTCCCTTGTGTGAGGGGAAAACGGTAAACAACAGAGCATAATTCAATAGTGAGGTGGATGGAACCCTAGCAGCAGGGAAACACATTTTCCTTGCTTCTGAGGAAGAGACTCAGAAATCCCTCCTGTGTTTAGGGAAGGCAGCAGGATATACGACTGCTTTGAGCTGTTGTTCTATCAAAATTAAAATAAGAGCTTCAGTAGTGAGATGGAGGGACGTCAGGGAGAAGAGAATTTGATTGAAAACATTTGCATACGGTATGGATTTCACATACCCTCTGTGTGTTGTCTCAGTGTCTGTGTTTGGAGACATCATGTCTGTGCAGGGCTGCAGGAGGATGGCGGAAGAGATGCCAAGCACTGCTGAGGTGACAGTATGAATGGGAGGGAGGATGTCACACACACCCAGCACCGTGTTTTATTTTTTTCAGACTGTTCAAACAGCACAGCAGGATGGGACATGCATCAGCTGTCTGGAACATAGCCCAACAAACACTTAACCCTGCAACCACGTAGAGAAGCTTACATGATATTAAAAGAGATGTTCCTTCATTCATTCACTCATTTAGCACTGCTGACAACGAGGGTACAGTATGTTTCACTCAGCTTGACTGTTTGTCGACTCTGAGGCTAAGTAGAAGAATATGTTGTTCAGTGTTTCCTGGAAGTGGTTAAGCCACTGCAAATAATGTAAGAAGAAAAGTTATAGCATATGAAAAATAAATGTATCCGCTAAATGATCATCATTGATCAATTAAACATTGCTCCTGCAGCCCTTCTTGGTCAGATATGATGAATAGCGTAGGGTAGCTGATGTTAGCTAACATTAGATATACAATTATTGTATTCGCTGCTCACCATGCCTTGGTTCTACAAATGCACTTTATTTCAGTGTTTACCATCATCTTGTGACAGTCCTTTGTTTGCACAGGAGTTGTTCAGCCTTTGGAACATATTGGTTAACATTATAACATAGCAGGGCATGTGTTGTCAATGATTGAACAAACATTAATGGGACATTTTGGGTGCACTTACCAAATTGGGATGCGACCTTTCAGTATTTGCATTAGCAGATTTCTAAACACTTTTAATGACTTAAAAAATAACATAATGTGCAGATTGTGTGGTCGTGGTAGAAGAGTGCACTCAATGAATCGGTGCTTTAAATATGGATGTTGTGCATTATCATCCAAAGTGCACATCTAACAATTTTCACATCAAAGTTTCTTCTCTCAATCTTGATGAAAAACATGAACCCTCAGATTGACACTAGCGGTCTCCTTCTTTTTATTAATGAAATCACAGTACTAAAACTTGATTACAAAAATCTACGCTGGACAATCCACTGACTCAGAACTCTATATCTGCATACAATATGT